ACTGTCCACTCATTCCCTGCTCCTGCCTCAGCTTCTTTGTCTCCCCTCTCCCCCACCCTCCCGCCCCCAAAAAGCTTCTACTTGGCAACCCTGAATTCAGTGTAAGTTCAACCCGCACTTGGTAAAAACAGGACTGAATGGGGAGAATAGGCTTTACAGGCCAGTGTATTGAGCTTGGAGCCCTGGTACCACAGCGGTTAAGAGCTCGGCTGCTAACTAAAAAGTCAGCAGTTCAAATCCACCAGTTGCTCCTTGGAAACCCTATGAGGCAATTCTACTCTGTCCTATTAGAGTGTCACTATGAGTTGGAATTGACTTGAAGGTGATGGGCTTTTTTTTTTCTGGTTTGCACTGAGCTCAGGAGCGCTTGTAGCGCAGTGGTTAAGTGCTCGGCTGCTGACAGTTTGAACCCACCAGCCGCTCCACAGGAGAAAGATGCGGTAGTCTGTTTCTGTAAAGCTTTACAGCCTTGGAAACTCTATGGAGCAGTTCTACTCTGTTCTATAGGGTTGCTATGAGTTGGAATTAACTCGATGGCAACGGGTTTGGTCTGGTTTTGGCACTGAGTTCACTGCTCTGAGGCTAAAATTCAGAGATGCATCCCCTCTCTCCCGCACCACTCAGGCTTCTTTCTTCCAGGCCTTCCAAGTGAAGCTCTCACTCCCAGGAGGCACTGACTAGCACTAAGGAGGGCAGCCAAGGCAGCAGGAGCAGCCAGAGAGCCCCGGGCCCACATCTGGGCTCCATCCTGACCACTGTCTGACCTTGGGCAAGGCACAGCCCTCTCTGGGCCTCCAGTCCCACTGAGCAGCCACACAATCCCTGGGGCCCCTACCAGGAGGAAAAACTCTGGATCCCACTCTGGGTGTGTCTCCCAGTGGCTCATGTGCTCCCTTACAGAGGCCTTCAGGAGTTGACAGCCCCAGGAAGTTATGTCAGTGGCGAGGAGCAGGGCAGGGAGGCCCGAGGGTAGGACAGGGGAGTTATTTGGGTGCAGACAGATCCCACCCATCACTGCCAGACAATGGCCCAGGGCAGCTATTGTGCTGGGAGTGGAAAATCCTTTTCTGACTCCATCTCCAGGGGCTTAAAATAGTCCAGGGTAGAGGGTGGAGCCCCTGAGGACAGGATTTAGGGCTAAGGAATGACTGTGGCCCAATCTGGCTCTTTGTTCCTGGCTGGGACGGGAATGAGTCTGGACACCGGGCTGAGCTGGAGCTAAGACAGAAGCAACTCCAGGAAACCCCTGCTGGAGGAAGAATGACTGGGCAGAGCCGAGCCCCATCACTGAGGGGGAAACTGAGGCCCAGAGAGGGGAAGGGGCTTACCCATAGTCACACAATGCATCAGGGCAGAAGAAGGTGAGAATTTGACTTTTGGGGCTCAATTCTCCTCTCCCCCTCCCCTCCACACCGGAGAACATATGTATTGGGAAGGCAAGTTCACCCCTCACTCTGCAGCCTGGTCACCCCTGGCCGAGCTCCACCCTCCATGCCACAGGAGGCGGGAGCATCAGGTGTTGGACTGGCTGCACTCCAAAGCACTGGGTGGTGGCAGTGAAGTCGCTTCACCTCAATAGTCACTTGATGCTAGAGGAGACCCACTGCCCCTACACCAGTCCTCAGAGCAGATTGCCCAGAGGGGTTTGGGAATGCCTGGGGGATCAGCTGTAGTACCTTTGAGGAAAGTCTAGGCAGCTGATGTCCTCACTGAGGTATACAGAAGCAGAAAGTAGGAGGCAGGCTCTAGAGGGTGGCCCAGAGAGGGCAAGCAGGTGGCCTCAGGTCACACAACAAAGGTTGCCCATTCTTTCCTTGCTCTGGCCCAGCTCCAAGCCAGTCCCACCAGCCCAGGTCTCCAGGTTGAACCAAGGAGCAGGCGCAGTACACCACAGCAGGCACCACCAGTCAAGGAAAAATGGCTAAGCCTGCTGCCACGAGTGGGTGGGAGCTCTCTAGCCCCTAGGGACTGGTTCCTGAAGCTTGATATTAGGAGTCCCCTCCTCTTTCTCCTTCCACTCTCCCTGCTGCCCTTCCATAGCCAGGCACCTGGGTAAGTTTCTGTGAAAACACACGGAACTGTGTGCCTGAAAGCTACCCAGTGGCAGTCAGGGCAGAAGGTGGACCTTCTTCCCTCCTCCCACACCTTGGGGAAGCCTCAGCCACAGAGGGTCCCTGGGCACATCAGGCCCCCTGCTGCTCACTGACGAGCACACTAACCTCTCCTTCAAGGCACCTATCCCAGTGTGGTTACATATAAAATGATGTCAGCTCCGTGAGGGCAGGGCCCGGCTGGTTTGCCTAGGCAGCCTTCCAGCACAGGGTCTGGCATGTAAATGCTTACTATTTCCCAGCCACTGTTTTAAGTGCTTTGTGTTTATTATTGACTCAGTTAAGCCTCCCAGTGCCCTACGAGGGAGATAGTATGATTATCCCATTTTAGAAATGAGAAAACTGCGGCGCTGCAAGGTGAAGTAACATACCCAATGTTCCACAGCTGAAAGAAGTGGAGACAACATTCAAACCCAGGTGGTCTGTGTGTAGAACCTGTGCTCTTAACCCCAACCTCGAAACACTGCCTCTCTTTCTTGAATCAAGGGTTACTTATGGACTCTCCTGCCTCTGGGGGTTGTGAGTGGGGTAGGATACCAAAAAGGGAACTAATCTGGCATCAGCTGGAGCTGGACTCCATGATGACTAGCCCACTTACTGCCTGTATAACCCAGAGCAAGTCACTGCCTTCTCAGAGCCAAACAAGCTCCCCCATCTGCTAAATGGGCATAACCTTCATAGGTTGTAGTGAAGAATAAGTAATATAATGGTTGTGAGAGGGTCTTGCATGGTGTCTGTAAGATTGCGTGTCATCTTGGCTGGGCCATGATTCTCAGTGTTTATATGTGATCAGTCCCATGATGGGATCTGCTGTGAGTAGCTAATCAGTTGAAAGGGAGTTTCCTTGGGTGTGTGGCCTGCATCTGAATATAAGCGGACGTTCTGGCTTTTGCTCGCTCTGGATCCTGCAGCTGGCTCTTGTTCATCTGACCACTGGTTCTTGGGACTTGAGCTAGCAGTTTACCTGCTGAACTTGGGATTCATTGATCTTCACAGCCTGTGAGCAAGAGCCCTGCTCTCTGACCTGCTGATCTTGGGTTCGCCAGCCCCTGTGGCTACGTGAATCGGGAGAAGCCTCTGTCCTAATCCACAGACTTGGGACGTTCCAGCCTCTACAATCACGTGAGTTGTTTCCTTGATATAAATCTCTTTCTCTCTGTACATCTGTATGTGTTTCTGGTGTTGCTTCTCTAGATAACCCAGCCTAAGACACTCCCCATGTGCGTGACTTTAAACAGTGGTCAGCTCAGATCTGCCATGACAAGGGTGGTAGCAGAAGGATAGCCTTGGTGGCCCGACACAGGCCAAGACTGGAGCAACTGCTCCAGGCAGCATGTTGTCCAGAGTCCTCCCTGGCCTTCGAGGGTAAGGGTGGGAATGTCTTCAAGGATTCCCCCCTCCCTGGGCCCTGAGATACCTGCCACCCAGGGCAGAGACCCCTATATGTCAGGGCCCTGCCCTGGTGGCACAGAGCTTATTGAGAACAGCCGCTGCAGGCGAGTCAGCAGGCATTGACTCCCCTCTGCCCGTGCTCCCCCACCTGCCTTGTGTCTCTGGCCTTGGCTCCATGGTTCTGTCCACCCTGGTTGGGAAGAGCAGGGTTGTGCAGGGGACGGCAGGATTCGTACAAAGGCACCAACCTGCACTAATGAGGGTGGGCAGCAGAGCAGCAGGAGCAGCCTGAGGGCCCCTGGCTTACATCCTGGCGCCACGCTGAGCCGCTGAGTGACCTTGGGCAAGGCCCCACTGCCTTTGGCCATGAGCCTGCAGCTGGACTGGATAATCCCTGGGGTTCCTATTCGCAGCTGTGCCATCTGGGAGACTCATGTGCCCTTTCACAAAGGCCTTCAGGAGTCAACAGCCCCAGGAAGTGACATCAGGGTTGGGAGGTGAGGAGAAGGCAGGGAGGCCCAGAGAGTAAGAGGCGATATTTTGAGGGCAGGCAACTCCCCCCACCCACACACACACACACCCATCACTGCTAGACAATGGTCTGGGGCCCAGAGTGGAAAATCCTGCTCTTATTTAAGCTGAAAATAGCCCAAGGCAGCAGGGTCAGGAACCTCACCCACCAGGTGGGTAGCCCAGGCACTCAGCAGCAAGGTTAGATGTCCACACAGAGGGTCTGTCCACACAGGTGCAGTCTGACTGGGGTCCAGAGGTGGGACCCTGGGCCTGTCCCTGGTTCACTTAGTGCTTCCATTCCTCACCCCCACCAGTGTCTGTCACAGGATTAGATGGTAAGTGAGCTCCCCCTGTCACCCAGGGCCCATGTCCTTAGAAATCTGTAGGCCGTCAGTTCTTAGAAGATTCCTGGGGCTGGGGCTAAGTGCAGTCTCCATCCATCGTGGGGCCCTGGGTTCTTGGGTCTCCAAGGCAGCTGCTGGAGGAATAGGTGGGCAGGACATGAGGGCAATGGGGACTGGGGGAGCTTGAGCCTGTGGTGGCCACAGAGCCACCCTCAACTACAGATGCACATTCAGGGGCTCCAAAGTCAGAGTATAGCCCCTGTCTCTCAGTCCTGATGGGGGCAGAGCTCAGCATTCACACCTCAGGCCAGCAGAGCATTCTACCTGGGTAGGGACTCCCTATAAACTGGGATGGGGTTCAGCCTGAGCAGAAGCTGATAGGAAAGAGATTATTAGTCTCAGGCCTGCAGGAAAGGCTCAAGGACAGCTTGTGAGAGGTTGCCACCCAAGGGTGGATTAATCAGTAAGCAAGGTACACACAGGCTTACTTGTATTTACTTACTGATCTGTACTGAACAATTTTACCTGTTTTTCACCACATTTTTGATGTGGTGAAACCCATGTGAAATTGTTCACTACAGATGAGTAAGTATGCACAAGTAAGCCCACATGTACTTTGCTTATTGGGCCATCTGGCTCTGTGTTAACAGAAAGCTTAGAGGGATTCTGGTTATGTTAACAGAAGTATAGAACCCAGAATGTGGGAGGTGAATATCTCACAGTACTTTGGGTAGGTTACCCACATTGCACAATTGAGAGTAATCATTTGAGCCTAGGCCAGTGATGGATCTAAAAACCCCATCACATGAAGGAGCTGGGAAGCTAGGCTCTGAGTAGAGAAATCATAGGAGGCAGGTCTCGGGGGAAGAGGGACCTTCACTCAGGCAAAGTGGGTCCACAGGGAAAAGGCTTTCCCAGAGGGAGAGGGAGTGAGTCAACATCCTTGAGGTCAAGAGTAAGGCCTATCCACTTTGCCCTGTCCCTTCAGGCGGGGCCCTGTCCAGCTGAGCTCCCCAAATTGGGGAATTTTGCCAGGAGTTGACATCACGTTGGTAGCCTGAAATGGATCATGGTGGGAATATTTACACTATGGCAATTGGCAATGCTACAAATAAGAGGTACCCTGCACTAACTCCGCAGAGCCAATTAAATGGTTTAACATTTACCAGCACATGACTAGTCATCCCACTGAGTCCTAGACTGGGGGATCCCCAAGGCCTGGGACCTCACCTGATTCCTGTTTGTGCCAGGCAAAGAAGCCAGTTGACTTTAAAGTAGAGGATAACTTTGGGGCTGAAGAGGGGGGTCCCTTAAGTAAGCCTACTCCTGAGGCAGTTACTGGGAAGGCAGGTGGCAGAAGAGAACAGGTTAGAAAATGGACCTGGTGGGGGTGGTGAGAGCTTCCCAGGCTACATCCCCATTCCCAGGCCACTCACTGGCCACAGCTCAGCTCAGCAAGCAACAAAATCTTTAGTATAAGTTACAGCTTCAAACTGGCTCCCATCCAGGGGAGCCTATAGATGGGTTTATGGTACCAGTCCCCAGATGTTCATCTCTTGTGCTGGGGGATCTCCTCAGAGCTGAGTCCACTATGGTACCCAGCCTTCCCCTCGACTCCTGTAAGTGGCTCAGCTCTGGTCACTTACCAGGGTCCTCTGGTCACCTTGTGACTCTACCCCAGCCCAGGTACCTATGGCTCAGACTCTGCTACGTGACCTTGGTAAGTCACCTTCCTCTCCAAATGGGTCTCAGTTTCTCCATTTGATTTGATTAGGCTGGACTCTAGCCTAGGTACCTGGCAGGCATGGATGGCTGTTTATGTTGGAGTCAGGCCAGGAGTGGCATTGGCCCTGAACCCTTGCCTTTTTTGAAACCTTATTCCCCAACTCACACATACAAATGATGACTGGGGACTGTGTGGACTGCTGAACAATCTAGACCACAGAGACTGTATCCTGAGTCCCTGCCAAATGACAGAGTGTGGGCTCATGGCTCCCTTGGTCATCCAGCATGAGTCCATATCTGGGGAGACTGTTCCATTTGAACAAGTCTTGGTCCCCTTCAGCCACCCATACAGACTTGCACGTGCCCAGAGTGTACAGGTCCTACAGCTGGACATCCTTAGTGTTCTCGTCACCAGCTGGCATAGATGCTGTCTGTCTAGAGCCTTCCCTGCTGGCTGACAGGTTCTCTATCCTCTTAGCGTCACTTATGTCTGACCTGCGCATGCCCAGCCTGCGGCGAGCCTGGATGGTAGGAATGGGGTTTATGGCTGGTTTGTCATCACGGGCAAAGCGCACGAGCCTCTGCCCAGCCAGGAAGTAGAGCACAGGGTCAAGGCAACTGTTGGCACTGGCCAGTGGTCTGGTGATCTTGTAAGCCATGTTGATGGCATTGAGGGTGTGGCAGCTGAGGTCAAGCGAGCGAAAGGAGTAGTAGAGGGTGCGGGTGATGTGGAAAGGCAGGAAGCAGAGGGTGAAGACAGCCAGCACCACGGCAATGGTGCGCACCGACTTGCGCTTGGCCCGCGGCAGGTTTCCTGTGGCCCCGTAGGTTGGCTTTAGCAGCCTCTGCGCCATGAGCACATAACAGACCAGGATGATGGCAAAGGGTATGGCGAAGAGCAGGCCCAGGATGACGGAGCTGAAGGCCATGAAGTGGCTGAAGAGCTCGGGTGCCGAGGTGTCGTGGCAGGTAATGCGGGTGCCATGTGTGCTGGTGGTGACGAAGTAGAGAATGGGTGCCTGGCAGGCCAGCACCAGCACCCACACGGCAGCTGCCACCCGGCGGGCATAGTGGGCCTGGCCCCAGTGCAGTGAGCGCAGGGGGCGCAAGACACCCAGGCATCGGTGCACGCTGATGCAGGTGAGGAAAAGGATGCTGCAGTAAAGGTTGGTGTAGAAGAGGAAGCGCACCAGCTTGCAGAGCACCGTGCTGAAGGGCCAGTGGTCGCCGCGAGCATAGTAGTAGACCAGCAGCGGCAGGGAGGCCGCGTACAGTGCATCCGACACAGCCAGGTGGAACATGTACGTGGTGGAGGCGTTCCAGGTCTTGAGGCGGCACAGGAAGGCGTAGAGGGCCACAGTGTTCAGACACAGCCCGAGCACGCACACCACACCATAGGATACAGGCAGCAGCACATACTTGAAGTCCTCGTTGAAGCGGCACCTATAGCCCAGCTCATCCCCATCCCAGGTGTCATTGTCAGTGCCATTCCAGGGGTCCAGGCCTGCTGCCATCACCCTGCAGGGAAAGAGGGTGGGGGAACAGATATCAGGGTCATGGCCAGGGCTCAGTGGGGAGGCCTGACATGCCCACCCTGAATAGGGCCATGAGGCGCCCCAAGTGCCCACAGATTCCCTTGGTTAAGTTTGCCTAACCGCGTTCAGAGTCTTTGTTGCCATCTGACCTGGATCTCTCCCTTGACCCAGAAAATCTGGAGCCTTCAAATCACAGAGTTCTAGAGCCCTGGAACCTGGAGAATGCATGAGATCCATGACTATCAGAGTCATACAATTCTAAAACTTTAGAATAGGGGTAGGCAAACTATAATCTGAGGGCCAAATCCAGCCCACCAGTCTGTTTTTGTAAATAAAGCTTTATTGGAACACAGCCACGCCCATTTGTTTATGAAGAGTTGAGTAATTTTGACAAAGACCATATAGTGGCAAAGCCTAAAATATTTACTATCTGGCCATTTGCAAAAAGAGTTTGTTGACCTTGCTCTAGAATCTCCGGATCACAGAGTTCTAGATCTAGGATTCCAAGCTCTAGAATCTGAGGATCTGGTGGGCCCAGAGGGGTATAATTTCAGATTCATTGAAAGGGGCCTTTGAGGCTGACTGGCTCTGCTTCACACTCAGTGTCCATTGCCTGCTGGGATGTTCCTAAACAGTGGGCCACCCATTTCCTCCTGGAGGCATTAGGAAGTTCTTTGCTTTAGCTCATCTATCTACTGTCCAGGGAAACTCTGGCCCTATGCCTGGTATTTGACAGGGTATTTCCAACGTTCTCCCTCTTCAGTCATTCATTTACTCACTCAGCAAATATTTTTTAGGTACTCCTATATTCTGGCACTTTCTGCATCTGCAAACAACAGTCCTGCTGCTGGCCTGTGAAGCTGCCCAATGGGACAGTGACCCTCCTGGAGATTCCAGGGAAGTCTGCGGTGGATGTGGGGGTGAGGGGCAGAAGGGAACTTCTTCCGAGGAGCAAATTCAGCTTCTTCTAGGTCTTCCCAGCTTCTCTTCACACACCATCACTATCTTGACATTTCTCTACCTTATTCTTAGTGGCATATAACACACCCATGAGGTCTGACTGCTCAACAGACAGTGAGCTCCCAGAGAGCAGGACTTTGGCCTCTTTCCTCTCCCCATCCCACCAATGTGACCAACAGGAACTCTCTCAGCTGGAAGGCAGGCTGTAGGCATCCAGGGCTGAAGGGAGAAGACGTGCCCAACAGCCCCAGAAGGTTGGCTAGAAGTCATAGCGGGAGTCTCAGGCAGGCAGGTTTGGGACAAACACAAAGGATAACTTTCTAATAGTGTGAAGGGGTGAGGAGTAGGGAGAGCTGATGATATTCATACTTTACTACTAATGTGTTCTTTATAAATGTTACTTTATTTAATCCTTACAACATGTTTCTGGGAGCCAGGTCATCACCCCAGTTTTCCAATAAAGAGGCTGAGACATGGATTATTTAAGTAATTTGGCCAAGGTCACACAGCCAGTAAGTGGCTGGGCTGCAATTCCTACCACTGTGGAAGGGGCCATAGGAGGGAGGGAGTGAACTCCCTGCTCCTGAGGGTGTGCAAGCAGCTCTTAAGTGCAGGCTAGGCAAAAGGGGTGCCCCTGACTGGAGGCGGGTGGGAGAGGGAGGTGGCCAAGAGGAGGCCTGGCTTAGGGCTGGGTGACAGGGGGGGATTGGGAGGAGGAGCAGGGGCAGGGAAAGGAGATGAAGGTTGTGGGATGTGGGGATTGCGAAAGCTGGGACCATCGCTAGCTCACAGAAGCTGCAGGAGGAGCATGGAGGACGGAGTGTGAGACTGCGGACAAGTGGAGGGGCCACACTCTCACCTGGGGACAGAGACCCAGCCTGGGAGTCAGTCAGCCACAGAACCCTGGGTGACATCAGGCACTTCCTGCCCTCCTGAGTCTCAGAGCTCTCATGGGCCAAATTCCCCAGCCTTGGAGAACTGCAGCCCCCAAACTTCCCCTATGAGGTCCTTTCCCCCCTTGAGACAGGAGGGTGGCTTCCTCCATGGCGGGCACACACACAAAGGCCCACTCCACACTGCTGCCCTGGTCCTTTCCCAGGGTTGAGATCTCTCCTCAGAGTTGGCAGGAGAGCCCTCGTCTTCCCTGTGTAGTCCAGATCTCATCTCTCTGTACCAAGAGTTTCCTACTAATCATTAATGGTGGAATCTCTGACCCTGAGAAGATGGGTGGAGACTTCCTTAAGTCTCCCTGTGAATGGAGGGAGCTGCCCCTTCCACCTGTTTTGAGACATCCTAGCCTCCACGCTCCCAGATGAACTGGGGACTCGATCATTGGGGCCCCCATCCAGCCTGACCCTGCCTGCCCTCTCCCTCCACAGGCTGTCTCACTAACCTGTGAGAACTTCTTTCCTAGCTCCCCACCCCTTCTTTATGGAGATGGCCAAGTACAGAGCCTCTCCCTCAGACCTCCCCTTCTGCCTTTCCAGATGGTAGAAAAAACTAATGGGTTTCCTGACCCCGGATGCCACTTTGGGGCCTCACTCCAGGCACGCTAGAGATCAGCTCTCTCCTAATTTGTCCAACATCACTCACTAGCTCCTCTGTGCCCAGTTCTGGCTGGCCCTGTCCCTGAGGAGCTCCCCGTCTGGAGGGGAGATGTGAGCCGTTTAAATGCCCTTCCAGGCTTCCCAACTCGGCTCATGCTGTTCTTTCTGTCTGGAAAGTCTTTCCAGAACTTATCCAGCCTCCATTCCATTTTATTATTCCTCAAGGACCTTCTCAAATGTCACCTCACCTCTGAAGTTCTCCCCCTCTACCACCACACGGGGCGTTCCTCACACTATATTGGTGAATTGTCAGTCTCTACTCTACCCCTCTACCACCCGGTGCGTTCCAGGTGCTCTTGGAGGGGTGGGTCCGTCTGATTTTTCCCTCTGTCCCTATCATCCCGTAAGAGGCCTGACCCAGAGCAGGTATGACATGATGAATGCGTGATGCACAAGAGGCGATGGGAGCCCAGAGTAGGCTGAGCTTTAGGAAGGTGCTTCTCCTTTTCCTTGCTCTTTTGAGGGCCTCCTGGACGACAGTGATGCTCAAAGATTTCTCAGTTGCTGACTCTGGGTGGCCAGGGGTCAGCCCAGCCCTTGTGGGGCCCCAGCCCACCTGGAGGCTGCTCCCACCCCAAAAACGACCTGGGCTATGTTTCCTCCTCCAGACAGGCCAGGGAGCCACTAGGGGGAGGGGAATTGGACTCAGGCATTCTGGAGCTAGACCAGCTGTCCAAGGCCAGCCACATTCTTTTATCTCATCCATCCCTGGCCCAGGTAATGGGTCAGTCTGGGTCAGGAGCCCCCAGTCTGGGAGCACCACCCCCCCACGCTGTTGTGTATGGGCTAACCTTGGCTGAGCAGCCTCCATGCAGCTTCTTCACTTCATCCCCTGTCCTCCACCTTTGGTGGTTGTTGTTGGGTGCAGTTGATTCTGCCATAGACATTAAGCTACTTGCTCAAGGTCACACAGCCAGGAACTGGGAAAATATGCTTAACACCCAAGGCTGTCTGGCTTCAAAGCCTGAGTTCATCCCAGCCCTGGATGAGGGAACAGGGCACAGCCGAGGCTAGAGCTGGGCACCTGCCTTAGGACCCTTTTGCTCTAACCCCGGTTCAGCTTATACACATACACACACACACACCCAACCCCCAAAACACACACAACCTGGCCCTACTACCTACCAGCCATGTGACCTTGGGCAAGTTAATTAACCACCCTGGGCCTTTGCTTCCTCATCGAGGTAAGAGGACTACTATAAGGATGAAGTGCCTGTCCCTGAGCCTCCCAGCCGATGGGCCCCGCCTTCTGACACACTTACCTGACCAGCTTCTCTAGCTGTCAGGATGCTTACTGCCCACTTAGGCTCCTCACACATGAATGCACACACCTGGACCAGGCTGCAGGGAACTCTGCAGGAAACACGAAAAACAGGTCGCTTGGCCTGGGCTGCGCCCTTGTCTCAGTTCCTTCATCATTTCTCAGGGCAGGCGGCTGCTGCTGCCACTGGCTCCTGCAGACACAGTGAGGTGTTGGTGGCATGGGCTCCAGGTCGCAGGATGCCAGCCAGGCCAAGCCTTCTTGGGGCCACCCCCGCTGTTCTAACTTTGGCCTGCATAAGGCAGAAAGATGACCTGGTGTGCTTGCCCTGGCAGGAGTGCCCTCTATAACCTTGCCTCCCTCCACCACCGTTCACACCCCTCCAATGCTCTAGGGATGGGGTGTTCACAGCCTCTTTCCCCAGCCACCCCCTTTTGCAGGAGGATGGCTCTGCTGGGGGAAGGTCTCCCCCCATATCCTGCAGAGCCGAGAAGAGCTACCAGCACCCCCTCCCTCAGTCCTGGTTCTGTGCTTCTGCTCCACTAAAGCAACAATCAATACCCACTTTTTCCAGTAGTCACTCTACAGTAATTCTGCCAATATGCTTTTGCTCAAGCTAGGTCTCTATCTGGAACACTCCCCTTCCCCGCTCCTTCCTCTAACCATTTCTCCCTGGGTATTATAAACAGACACATGTACCACACACCCACACACACAGGCACAGACACACATACACAGAAGTATACATAATCACACTCAAACGTACACACAGTGCACACACATACTCTGTCCTAGACAGTCAGGACCTGGAACAGCCTTTAGAAATCACCTGCCCCTAATCCCCATTTGACAGATGAAGAAACTCTGAGTGGCTCAGAGAGGTTTAGTAACTTCTCCAGTGTCACAGAGCTAGCAAATGGCAGAAGCAGCCCTGATCTGTCTGACTTCAGAAGCTGTGGCCCTGACCCAAGGCCTCCCAATAAGATTAGAACCCAGGCCTTCTGAATTCCGGCCCTGGTTCTTGTCTCTTCAACCTGGGAGCCCCTCACATACGTCAGGCGCAGCAGAGCTTCAGTGAAGGGATGGTTACCTTGTGGATGGGCAGGTCCCCGCATGCACCAGAACCTCAAACACATCACAGGAGAAAGATAACTCGTGCACCCTGGGCCTCTGTGTACTTAGCGTACCTTGCCCTAGTAGTCTCAGGTTGACACGGGCCATTGGGTTGGTAACTACCTGCCAGTGTGCTCTAGTAATAACAAGGAAAAAGAACAACACCTTTTCACCCCATTCCGCCCAGGGATCACATCCTGTCTTCTCCCTAGGAGATGCTTTGCCTCCACACACTAAGGAGGAACACATCACTTTCACCGTCCTTCCAGGTTTCAAACCTCAGAGACATGGAGCCCATCACTCACTAAGTCCATCAGTTCAACCAATCAAGTGCCTCAGACATGCACCACGTGGTCCCCACCCCGCAGCCCCTACCTGAGGCCAATCCTGCGTTTCTCCTTCAGACCCTGTACCAGCTTCCTCACTGGTCTCCTTGCCTCCACCCCTGCCCCTGCCTGTCCATCTTTCACACTGCAGTCATGTGGTCTTCCTAAAACACAAATCTGATCACGTTACTGTCCAGCTAAAAATCCTTCCATGGCTCCCTGTTGTCCTCAGGCTAAAGTCCAAGCTCCTTAGCCTCGCATTCGAGGCCCTGGCTGATCTGGTCCTGTTGCCCCTCCAGCTGACTCTCCCTCTTTGTTCCACCCTCATCTTCCTGTCTCAAGCATAGCAAATGCACCCCATGGTCATAACTTTGCTCACAAAGTCCTCTCTTCTAGCGACACTCTCCCCTACCTTCTAATACCTATATCATAACAAGAGTTTCCACTACTTGAGTATTTTCTCTGTGCCAAGTTCTGTGTTAGGTGGCTCCGTTGATTCCGAGAGGCTCAGAGAGGCTCAATAACTTCTCTAGGGTCACAAAGCTAGCAAATGGCAGAAGCAGCTCTGATTTGTCTGATTTCAGAAGCTACGGACTGACTGCTACCTCCCACCCTCCAAGGCCTAGGTCCTCTCCTCCAGGAAGCTCCCTGGCCAGCCCCCTTTGAGTCCCACAGCTCTGCCAGTTCTGTGCCGGAGGGAGCACTCAACTGGCAAGATCCAAGAGCTATTCTTCCTGGCACGTCTCCAGTGTGAAGCAGCATGATGGTTATTGTACCCATCTCACAGATAAAGAAACTAAGGCTCAGAAAGGAATAGTGACTCATCCAAGGTCACCCAGTGAGTCAAGGGCAGAGCCAACTCTAGTATGCAGACCGCTTGCCTCCCCCTCCCAGCACCTCCCCCCCACCAACCCTCCCTCCTGCACTCCCCCCTCCCCCGGGCCTGGCTCCATTCCTATCCCAAACTGGGTCTTTCTTCCTTTGGCCCTAGGATAGAGCGCCCAAAGCCAAGACGAGGGGCTGAGGCAGTTCCCAGGCCAGAATTTCCACGGTTGTTGGACTACATTCCAGGTACTCCACTAGGGTGGCTCTGGAATGTGCCTGCCTACCCACCCACCTGGTTGGCCCTGTCCAGCCTGGCAGGAGAGTGTCCTGTTACCTTTGTGGAAAACCTTGCTACCTGTCTCCGCCAGGGGTGGGGTACTGTGACTGGGGACATAGGACCTAGGCCCAGAACATCATCGAGTAGACAGGGGAGGGCACTAGGAAGGTGGGAAATTCTGTTGGGGCTTTTCTGGAAAAGCCTAGATAGCTGAGTGCGGGGGCCAGACTCTGGTTCAAACCCCAGCTCTGTCATTCCCAGCTGTGGCACCTGGATAAATCTCTTAACTCCAAAACCTGAGCCTCAGTTTCCTCTCAATATAACAACAGCACTTGCCTTATAAGGAGCCCTGGTGGTGCAACGGTTAAGCACTAGGCTGCTAACCGCAAGGTTGGAGGTTCAAACTCACCCAGTGGCTCTGCAGGAGAAAGACCTGGCAGTTTGCTCCTCCTGTAAAGATTACAGCCAAGAAAACCCTAAGGGGCAGTTCTACTCTGTAACACATAGGGCTGCTATGATCAGAATCGACTCGATGGCAACCAACACCAATCTGCCTTGTAAGATTGTTGAGATGGTTAAATGAGATGCTTTAAACTCATTTTATGAGGTAATTAAAAGAGATAAGACTTCAGCAGGTGAAGGCAGGGAGGATGGGGTATTCCAGGAAGGCAAGAGGGGCAGGAAATCCCACAGAAATTGTGGGCAGTGGCTGCAGCTTGTGAGGTCACAGCCAGACTGACCACAGATCCAGTTTCCCACACCGAAGGCCACTCTTAGAGGGGAGGGCAGTCCAGGGACCACCAGCAGGGACCAGAGCCTCATCACACTTCCTCACTCACTCACTCTTTACAGAGGTTACCGTATCTATGCCTGTGCCTGTGCAGGACACCTGGGGACTCTGAGTTGGAAAAGACCCTTCCCTGCCCTCAGGGAATTCATTGCCAAGGTGTGAAGAATTAGACCCCAAAACAGGCAATGACAACTTAGGGTGATAGAGGCTGAGGGAGGCAGAGGTCCCAGGGCTGAAGGAGCCATAAGGCCACTAATAGGAATGGAGGGGTGGTCAGGGGAGGCTTTCTGGAGGAGAAGACACCTGAGCTGCATTTGGAAGGTAAGTAGGAATCAGGTGAAGGGAGAGAGGGGAGAAGCAGAGTAAGCAAAAACTGGGGCAAGAGATCACAGTTTGGGGAGCTATCAGGCATTCCTGTGGCTTGAGGGGAGTGGAGGGGGTGAGGCTGGGTTGGAGGACAGGCTTAGGATTTTGGAAGTTATCCTCTGCCTCCTCTCATGTCCTCCAAGGGACTGAAGGCCGGTAGGCTCCCCATCCTTGCCTTATGTGCTTTCTGGGCCACAAGCACCGGGGTGGGCTAGAGAAAGAGGTGTGTGTGTGTGTGTGTGTGGCTGGGGTGGGGGCGGTGGTAACCTCAGATGCTATCAGTAGGTGCCATTGCGGTGTGAGGCCTTTGCAGCCTCCTGGAGGCCCTACCTAGGGTTCTGTAGCCCCCTCTCAAAGGCTCTCTCCCTTTTGGGAGCCCTCAGGGTCCTGGCTGTGAGGGTCACCTGCTGGAGTTGAGCTCAGAGCATCTGAGAGGGTAGGTCTCAGATTATCCTGGCTGGTCCTCCCACCTTACTGATGAAGAAACTGACACCCCTCAAGACGAAGGGTCTTATTCAAGGTCTGGTGCTCTAATTATTTTCAGTGTGAAGCAGTCCCCAGGACAGGACTCCAAACCACCTCTGCCACCCCTGACCTGTAGTCCAGCCCAGCATAGCACAAAGCTATAGAGATGACTGCTGAACCAAATTGGTTCAGAACCACAATGTCTTGGGTATCACCCCAACCTATCACATCCAAATCTCTCCAGCCACACTCAGAGGCACCCTGGGTTCAGCCTCCAACTTGGAACCAACTTGTGCCATCTTGGTCAAGTCACTCTCCCTCTCTCAGCCTCAGGGTCTTAACTGATGAAATGGGGAGAATCTTTGCTACATGGGACAGGTCGTGAGAAACAAGTGAGACGGGGCAGGCGGGTGCTCCATGGTGCTAACAAATCATGCACTGCCCTGAGGTGGGGGCTACATCATGATTGAGCTACCTCAGCGGGGGGATTCTCCCAGGTGTCCTCAGCAGAGGGGCAGAGCTCATTAGCAGAGCAGCCAGGAAAGGCTCCTGGAAGAGAAGCTGTGCTCAGGCTTGAGGAGAAGCAGGAAGGACCCAGCTTGGGAGGAAAGAGTGAGACTGGGGAACGCAAGGTAGAAAACGGGACAAAAGAATGTAAGGTATTAAGAGTGAATCTGTGATTCTGATACTGTTTCACTCTGAGTGCTTCCAGGATTCTGAGTCCAGTGCTAAGAGTATGTAGTTCCAGGAGTGAATGCTAAACTTGTCTTCAGTTCTATTACTTGTTACTTCTGATAGCCTTTGGTTTTGAGAGTCCCAGAACCACAGGAGTCTGGACTCTCAGAGTGATACAATCCTAAATCACATTCCAGGGAGCCACACGGTCTTAGCAAACACTTGCCAGTACCCCTGAGTGCCTGGTCTGAGAGGGACCCTGCAAACCCAGACTAGGATCAGGCTCTATTGGGCCCGTTAGGAGCTCCCAGGCTGGATGGAAAGACATACACATGGACCAAGGCCACCTGGGTGATCCAGCCATGACCAACGGAAGCCCAGTAACCGTGGAGCCCAGAGCAAACCCTACCAGGCCTAGAGGAAGTGGTCAGGGAGGGCTTCCTAGAGGAGGGGTCTTTTGAGCTGGGATTTGACAGGTGATTAGGAGTTTGGTGAACTAAAGGGTAGAGAGGCATTGAAGACAGAAGGAGGGGCATGTGCAAACAGCCAGCAGTGTGAGAGTGTGGTCTGTTGGGAAGAAGGCCGGGGGTCTTATATGGCTGGCATGGAGGGTTAGGTGGCATAGAACGTCTGGGGCCTGAGGGGCTTAACATGAAAGGGATTGAATGCCAGGCTGAGGAGCTCAGCCTCTATCCTGAGGACAATGGGAAGCCATGGCAGGGTGTAAACAGGGAAGGACATGGTCAAAGTTGACCTTTACAAAGATGGTGCCACATGGCAGGTGGATAGGATTGGATGGGGCAGGGGGAGTCTGGAAGTAGGAGACCAGGGAGGAGACTATCCTCTCAGTGGTTCAGTAAGGGGATCTGATCCCTTGGCCTTGATTTCCTGTGACGTGGGAGCATCCCTTCCTTGCGCACAGCCCCCATGCAAGATCCCTCCTTCCACAAGCTAGAAGCCACATCAATACAAGGAGCTTCCTCCCTCCTCCCCCAGACAGGGGAAGGCCCTCTTCCCCTCTCCAGTGCCCAGACTTCCCTTTCTGGGAAGCTGCAATGGCAGTGACAAGGTACTAGGACGGATCTTTCTGAAATGCTTCTCTGACCATGAACTCCCCCTGCTCACAAACCCTCCATGGCTCACTACTGCCTTCCTCTGGACTAATTCTTCCCACAGCACCACCTGCCACATTAAAAGTCCCCTGACAAAGGCAACTGTCCTTCCACCGTCACAACCCCCTGCCGCCGTCCCCTCGCCCCCAAGGGGTACAGGTGCCCAGGCTTGGCCGGCCACTTGGAGAACCCCTGGAGGAGGGATGCCCAGCGGGTCTGGTCGGCGGCTCCCAGGTATCTGACCGTGGCTCCGCGCCACGGAAGCGCCGGTACCAGAGCACATACAGAGACAAGTTCTGCAAGTTCAGCTACCCGACCCCGCCGGGACGCACGCACTCATCCACTTACTAGCAGAAACTTTTCCAGAGACGCGGACACACTCTTCCTACCTGGGGTATCGGTCCACGCTCACCCAGATCGATGTTCCAGTGCAGACAAAAGTACCAACGCGGATCCCCAGCGGCACGCTCACACCGTCCAATTACTCACGTACATACTGGGTCGGAAACTCGCCGGGTTCAACTACAGTACACCCGTCCCAGCTCTTTCGTTGCCCAGGGCCGAGCCGGGACCCGCGCAAGTCTGACCCTCCGCGTCCCGGAGGCCGCCCCCGCGGACCTCTCCCCATCCCCTGTCCCCTTTATGCCGCCAGCCCCTCACCTCCGCGCTGCGCTTGTCCGCCAGCGGTGCCACGACCGCCGCCGCCCGGACCCACGTGCTGGGAGACCTTGAGGGCCCCTCCCCGCGCGCCGCCCCGCTTCACTCTCCACCCAGGCGACCAGGCTACGCCCGGGGCGGGGCGGACTGTGGACAACTTCTGGCACCCCCCCTCCCCCCCGCCCCAACAGACACCCCGCCACCTGTTCTGGGGCGCCGCCCGCCGATATGGCTGCTGGGTCAGCGCGCTCGCGCTGGGCGCTGCGCCAGGAGGGGCCGGTGGCGACAGTCATATGGCCTGGCTGGACTGACGCATCTCACCTCCCTCACCCGGGATGGGGAGCACTAAACACTCTCAAGTTTTACAAGGTTTGCCCGGTGCCTGCGTCTCTCCTGTCGCTGCCCACCACAGGACTTTTGTGCTGACCCCCGGCTGCCCCCCCCTTCCCCCCCACCGCCCCAGGCCAGGCCCCTCTGGTCAGGTTTTGGAGAGACCTGCCCCGGAGAACCTGTTCATAGCACTTGCTAACAACCTTGAAAACGCTCTTGAAACTCTAGAAGTGTGCTCCCCATCGCCCTAGGGGATATCCAGGCACTCAGGGTCCTGCCTCCTCTCTAGCTCTGGGGGGAAGGCCCCAGCCTGGGGCAGGACAGCTTCTGCTTTGATCTCCCTCCTTAATCTCTGCCAGAAAGAGTCACAAGCAGTTCCCTGAGCACCCTGCTCTTTTCCTTCCTCATTCTGAGCAACTTCCTTTGAGAAGCCTTCTCATACTGCTCTAGCCACAAGCATCACTCCTTTCTCTGCTCTCAACCTCACCCTGAAGTTTTCTGATCATGTGTCCTGTGTCTGTCCCTTTCCTAGAGTGTGAGCTTCAGGAGGGCACGTACCAGGTCTGCCTTGTTCCTGCCGTCTTGCCAGAGCCTAGTGCAGTGCCTGGACCCAGGAGGTGCTCAATATTTGCTGTATATGTGGATAGGTGGGTGAATGAATGACCCTATCTTTCCCATTTCTGGTCTAGGAGTCAGACTTGCAGGTTCTGGCCCAGTTTCAGCACTGATTCTGGAAGACCTTGACCCAGTTACAGTTGCTCTTTTGTGAAGGAGAGCCAATCACACTTACCCTCCCACCCTCTAGTGTCCTTCCATCCGGTGCTTCGGACAGTCCATTGGCTGGACAAGTGCAGAGGAGGCCTCTCTTCCTGTAATCAAGGAGCTTGCCCAGGGCTCTGGGGCCTTGGGCACTGCTGGGCTCCACGTGAGCTGACTGGGGCCTGGCTGCCTGTCCCAGAAGGGGCCCAGGAAGGGTGCCTGCTGCAGCCCTGCCAGGAGCAGGATCAGAGTGGACACACAACCTTGTGTGGCCGAGCTGCCTCTGCAGTTCCCCTGGGCCTCCACCCAGAAGACACAAAGGCCCCTTGTCTATCCTCTACCATTCATTGTTCAAGCTGGTTCATGAAGATTTCAGGGGATAGGAATCCCTATGGCTTCAAATTGTGGGGCCCAGGCCTTGGGGTCCAGATGTAGGGAAGTCCCCTTGAGCACTTGAGTCCCCAGCCAGGCCCCTCTCCCTTCCAAGCCTTCAAACCTCCTAGTGTCGCTGCCGTTTAACCCAGGGGGAAAAATTCCTTTGATACCAAGAAGCCTGTCCCTGTTCTGGTCCAACCCCTTTACTTTATAGCCAAAGAAACTGCATCCCTGAGATGGGTAGTGTTTGCGCTCTCCTAAAAGGTGACTTTTGTGAGACCTGAGGAGCACAGGAAAAGGCCTGGTCCTTGAACCTCACAACCTTGGTTTCAGGTTCTGGTCTTGCCTCACCTCTCTGTAACTCCTTTCTGAGACTCAGTTTCTTGATCTGCAAAATAAGGTAATAATAACTCCTTACTTACTGGCCTGTCTGAGGCTCTTTTTTAGGGGTTTGCCCGTCATCCTGAGCTACTCAGGTTTAAGGGGTTAGTATCTCCTCTAATGAGGGGCTAAAAGTCTCGATCTCTTGACATCTTCTCCTGACACTCTTATCACTGGGTTTTAGAGATCATCAAGCCCAGCAAGCTTCACATCCCCCAGCTGAGTCTTCCTTACCTGGCACTGCCTAGGAGTTCCCATCCCACTACAAGCTGAGCACCTTTGCTTTTATGTTTATTTATATTCTCTGGTAAGAGTTTGTTGGGAAAGTATAGTGATTTCCATGGCTAAAACAGCTTAGAACCATTGATCCAGCCAGGAAATTGAGGTCCAATGAGTCACACAGCAAGCCCCATACAACAAGGCCCCATATGAAAGAGTAGAATAGCAACAAGGAAGTCTCTGTGGAATCCAGCCATCAAGGAAGGCTAATGGTGAAGGCCCAGGCAGTGTAATGGTCCCCAGGAGGTAGGTAATGGAGCCATGGGAGGAGAGAGTGATGGAGTGCCATTAGCAGTAGCAGTCGGGATGGGGAATGGCAAAGCCCCAGCAGCAGCTCCCCTCGATGCATCAGAAGGCTTCCTGTCTCTCCAACCCTAAAGAGGTATTTGGCTTGCTCAGGCCTTCTCGTCTTTCCTCATCTTCTCTCATCTCTCCTGAGAAAATCTGCTCTGAGAATTCATGCTGGGGATGGATCCCCTGCCCCTGCTCAGACCTCCTCACTCAGCTGAAATTCAACACCTCCAGCCACTCCCTCCAAGGTGCTATCACCTCCTTCAGACCCTCTGGTGGCCCACCATCCTCAAGATACAGCCTGCCATTGTAGGCCGTCCCTCCTCTCCCGGTTCATCTTGTGTCTCTGAACTGGTCATGCTGAAGTGCTGGGCACTTGCTGTTTCTCTGCCTTAATGCTTCTCTGTCCTTGACCCTCTACTTCTGGCTCCCCATCACTGATTCTCTAAGACCCAGGCTACATGTCCCATCAGTACCTTCCTTTTGTCACATCCCTTACTATACTGTTATCACTGTTGATGTCAACCTACCCCTCTAACTGGGGATCTCTTTGAGGGCCAGGGTCCATCTTGTTCACAATTATGTGCCCAGCACCCAGCACTGCCCCTGTCACCTGGTCAGCCTCCATGAATATTTATTGTGTGAGTGAATGAGCAAATAGAACTTTATTTAGCCATCACCTTCTCTGTGCTAGTCATTGTGCTAAGGTATCTCATTTAATCTTCACCAGAATCCTGTGAGGTAGGTACTATTATTCCCATTTTACATATAGGGAGACTGAGGTTCAGAACAGGGAAGTAAACGTTCAAAGTCATGCAGTGAGTCTGCAGTGAGTCTCCTTGCCCTGGAACTGCAACCTACTGGAAAGGAAGGGCCTGCTGAGTTCCTGGAGGCATGGCTGGGCCATAGTGTTGGGACCCACACAGGAACCTTCAGTTTCACAGGGCTGGGCTAACTCCAGTGTCTTGTCTCGCTTGCTCCCTGAGCTGCTGCGTTGGTGTGCACCGTTCTCCCTCCCTCACTGATGGGGAACTGTGCCTCTCAGGTTTCCCAGGCAGGGGCCAGGGCTCTGATGCCAAGTGCAGCCTGGAAGCACTGGCTCTCAGCATGGCAGGATGCAAGGACCCAGGCGAGGCTGCCCTGGGAGGCAGGGCTCCGAGCAAGCCTCTGCTCCACCTCCCCATAAGCGGGATCAACCGCATAACAGTGGAGCCCAGGGCAAAATGAAAACATGGGGCCCTTTGTTCAAAAATTATTGAGAATTTCAAGATAGGACAGCAGAGCATTAAATCTAATGGAAGGTCTTTCTAAGTGTGGGGCCCTGTATGACTGTACAAGCCCATGAAGCTGGTCCTGTTCTCAGGCCTCGGTTTCCTCATCTGTCAAATGGGAGAACGATAGCCACCTGGAGAGGTAGCAAGGATAAGCTAGGCCATATAAGTTGAAGGCTCAGTGAACAGCATGAGGGTTGGGTAGGGCATACAACATCATTTGTTGTTTGAATCTCAGCACTGGGAAGCAGACCAATTCTTGCCGGGGGTTTGGTTCCTCACAACAGCTCCTTTTTAATGACCCCAAAACTGAGGCTCAGAGAAGCAAAGTAACTTGTCCAGGGTCACACAGTGACTCAGTGGCAGAAACCAAGATCAGAGCCCTAGTCTGTCTCTCTGCAAAGCTAGTGCTTTTTGTAATACAGGCAAGAGAGACAGAAGGGTAGAGGGAGGGGGTTGCCGCTCAGGACAAAGAGGGCTACTGTGCAAACACAAAGACCTGATCACAGAGGGCCCTGCGGGGGCTGGGCCAGATGGGCACATGGAAAAGCCCCATGGTGAGTGGGGGAGCTGCCAGGAGCTGTCTCACAGCCCCTCCCTGGTTGTGATGGGGACTGGGCGGGGGGGTGGTGGATGGTTGGTGGCTAGTGTCCAGGAGCCAGGAAATGGGTCCAGGAAGAGAAATTGACTCCAGGGCTGGGCCTCTTATCCCCTGCCCCAGGCCTCCAGAGCCAGAGCTGCCCACTCTGCCTCCCCACAGTTCCTTCCAGGCAGCCTGCCGGCTGTCCCTCTCTCCCTTCACACCACCTACCACCCCACTGTCCACACCTCAGTGAGGGTGGGACTCAGGCAACCTCCCTGCAATCCTGTTCAGAAACTTCCTGCCACTTCCCATCACCCACAGGAGGAAGAAGCATAAGTTCCTCAATGTGTCATTTAACGCCCTTTGTGACCTGCCTCATTGACGTTTCCACCCTCACTTGTCCCCACTCCCCATCAGCCTCCCACACCTCAGTCATATGTGATGTCTCACAGTTCTCGAAACCACTCTGTTCTTTTATATACTCCCTCCCCGCCCCTCTTTGGCCTGTGCTTTTTCTTCTTCGTGAAATGCTCTTTCTCCTGCTCTGTTTGCAGGCTGAAATCCCATTGCTCCTTCATGAATCTGCCACCTTCACCAGGCAGCTTTTCTCCACCCGTACAGTAGGGTTTAACTTCACCCATTAATTAATCTTTTCTGCCATGAATGTTGGGGTCCCTGTGGTGGTGCAAAAGGTTAATGCCCTTGGATGCTAACTGAAAGGTTAGAGGTTGGAGCCCACCAGAGATGTCTGAAGGGTCTGTCAATCTACTTCCAGAAAAATCAGTGTTTGAAAACCCTATGGATCACAGTACCATTCTGACACACAAGGTGTCGCCATGAATCAGAGTCGACTGAACGGTAACTGGTGGAGGTATGGTGGCCACAGATGTTGGATTTACTCACTGTCTTACAGTTGTTCCATTCTGGTTGTGTTGTAGTTATTTGGATCCACAAAGACTGCCTGGAAGAGGGAGCATTTGAGCTGAGTCTTAAAGGGCAGGTGGATGATGGGGTAAGCAAGGAACAAGAGCTCAGAGATTGAGGGATACCAGTCCTATCTCAAAATATTTATCTGAATTAATCCATTTGATTCCTGAATTCAGACAGCAAGGGGTATCATACTTCCGTATGGCAGAGTTGACTGTGTGGGGACAGTGTCAACTGATAAATTTATGAGGTTCACAAGTGTTATGGATTGGATTGTGACCCTCCCAAAATGTGTGTCAACTTGGCTAGGCCATGATTCCCAGTATTGTGTGGTTGTTGTCCATTTCGTGACATGATGTGATTATCCTATGTGTTGTAAATCTTAATCTCTATGATGTTAATGAGGCAGGATTAGAGGCAGTAATGTTAATGAGACAGGACGCAATCTACAGGATTAGGTTGTATGTTGAGTCAACCTTTTTTGAGATATAAAAGAGAGAAGCGAGCAGAGAGGAGAGGGACCTGATACCACCAAGAAAGAAGAACCAGGAGCAGAGTGTGTCCTTTGGACCCAGGGTCCCTGCTCTGAGAAACTCCTAGATCAGGGGAAGATTGATAACAAAGATGTTCGTCCAGAGCCAACAGAGGGAGAAAGACTTCCTGTGGAGCTGGCGCCCTGAATTTGGTCTTCTAGCCTCCTAAACTATGAGAGAATAAATTTCTATTTGTTAAAGCCATCCACTTGTAGTATTTCTGTTATAGCAGCACT